GCAAACAAGACTGCACCGTCATCCAATTTGCCGAAAGTAGTACTTGCATGTTTCACGTACCCCGGAACTCCTACCCCTTACAGGCTCAGGCAAACGTACTCTCTTCCCTTGAAGCTACGTTCATACTTTGCGTCAGCGTCCAGCAAAGCAGCGTTTTAAGCGACTAGGGAATTATGAATAGCAATCTAGCGTTTCGAGCGTCCACCAGCGTCTACCAGGGTGGAGTGTGCATAAATCCGTGCTTTAGCAGCTGTACGGTTCAATGGCACAAGCCGCAATTTCACGACGCCTAATCCAGCAGTTATGTTACCCCCTCCCCCCCTCCCACTTCCCCATGCTCTCCATTCTTGGTGGAGGCTGACGCAATTTTGAACGCGAAATCGGCAGCTATACTTTCCTATTCCCTTGACCTGCGTTGACGCAAAGTATGGATGCAACCGTACGGTAGGCCTGGTCTAACTTTCCTTTGTAATCGTCCGATAAAACCTAATCAGCTGCCTTTCGTTTATATATTTTTTTACAAATGCATTCAAAGAGGCCAAGCTGCTGCGAAAACCACAAATGACTCCCATTTACCTTTGAAAGCTCTATCCACGTTGATCGCGTAGGGGACTCAGACCTGCCACAGTGTCTTCCATACTGTTATCTCTCCTGCTAATGTGGTGTAGAGAACATGGGCTTCACAACGCCGGAGGTGCTATGGTAGGCCTGATCCCGCCCGTATGATCAGCGTGGACATTCACTTTGAGCAGGTCTTATCCTATGAAATCAAAACATGGCCCCATTATTACCTCATAAACAGTATATTTACCTCTGAGTTGTGTACCCGGGCGTAATCTAAGTCACCAACTCGTGGCTTGGCCATATGTGACCAATTTTACCCTTGAAGATGGAACTCCATTATGAGTAATAATGTACGAGGAGGCCAACGATGCCATCGCAGCTCCAAGTGAGTGACCGGTCACCTGGAATTGAACTCACCCAATACTTATGCAGGAGATATCCTGAATGGGAAATTTTCTCACTGAATCGATAATCCTTGAAAAATCACTTACCCAAATTTCGTAGTCGGGGTATGTAGCACTCAGATTTTTGAAATCTTCTCCCATGCCAGCCTTCCACAAACCCATGAAGCCGTCGTAGAAATACTTTGACACGTATCCGCCGGCCTTCCATTGGATCTAAGTTTCACAACAAGTAAAATGAATTGTGGTATGGTTTTTGGAAAATGTTTGGAGATGCAACAAGGCAATCGGATTCATGCTGCTCTACCTTCCCCACGGTACTCCTGTATGCTGCCACAAAATATGGACCAAATTGGTGGAAAAGCTACCTTTTCATACAAGACACTCAGGTCCGCTTCCGCAATGAGCTGTAGGAAGGTGGATGTTCCTCTGAAATTGAGACATTATACCTTAACAATTCTCGAAATTTATGTATGAATAAAAGGGAACGCAGCGAAATTTTCAAGCGCTCCTTTTTAGGATGTGCTGTGCATCGCGCTCATTCGCCCAGAGTCACTGACAGCAGGCAGGACACATCGTAAACAACAGAATCCCCACGGCGGAGGGTCTCTCCGGTGCATGGAGGGAGGGGAAGTATTCGGCCTGAGAACTGTTGTTTCCAAATTGATATACCCCCCCCCCCCCCCCCTTCCGCTCGACGGAGAAAGGATCTCGTATTTTACGAAAACTCCCTCGGTGACTGGAGGGCCCTAACTGAGGTACTTTGAATGCTATTTGGTCACTACAATGACCTGCCCAGAGAGAGAAAGTCAGTGCTTTTTCCTGCTCGACAAGTCTGCTATGGATAAACCGGCCTCAGGGGATGGGAGCCGTTCAAGGCCAACTTTTTGACAGCACACTCTAGAGGCCTAGAAGTTAGTCGACTTGAGATGTGACCCCTTGACCCTGTGCGTAATGAATGGCGACACTTGCCAGTGAACTTAATCCGCCTAGTTTATTAGGGAAAATCTTACTCTGAAATGTCACCTGTAGCTGACAACAATCGCTTTGTTCTCGTGAATTACGGCCGTATATCCAGAGCATATGTCACTTTTCTCAAATGGACCACAAGTCACGTTCAGTTGGCGTATGACCTTAATATACCGCCATAGCTGATCGATTATCGATCGTCTGCTTCGCAATCAATAATCCTACTTACCGTAGCATTAACGAAACGATTGTCAAGGCACTTTTGCGGATTATCGCTGTAAGCGGAAGCAGCTAACGGAAACATTTCTGTGCGGGCGAACATGTCCGAGTACACCACTTCACCATTTCGGAACGGAAAGGTGAAAGGTAAACGGTAGCAGACCGCAGAAGACAACGGAGGCAGAGCATATTTCTGAAAGAAGTATTATTGCCGTTACAAATTATTAACATTGGCCAAATAAGGTCTACTTTAGGGTTCACTACCGAATAATTGCTTCCAAAGGATCTGTTAATACAGCGCTAAGATTCAACGGCCAATGGGGATTCGTCCGCCCTGAGGAACTGCCGCCCACTGTATCTTTGTGGAATGAGAACAAGTGCTCCTTATGGAGTCCCATACCAGAAACTCAGGATAGGGGAGAATAAGAGCGAAAAAATGGGGAATGACAGAAGGCCGTCTCTTATCATGTCGCTGGGTTGCGCCATGCATTCCGCACACACTTAAGACGTACCCTTTAACCACAAACAAACTAGAATGGTTGGCTTTCCAATACCCACACGGAACTGTAGCGAAAATGACCCGGGGCTTGGCTTGGTGGGAGCACTGAATGGTACCCAACTAACTTTGTACAGGCCATGAAGACCTGTAGATTCCTGTGACCGAACTGGCTCACTGGAACGATTTTGCAGCTTCACAGGAGCTCACAGTTCGGACAAAGTGAGACCTGTTAGCTAACATGAACCAACAAAAGGAACTAGCGGAAGTGTGACATGCCCCCACTAAACCGAACAGCGCTGAGAAAGCCTAATGTGCTCAGATACAGGAGCTAGATTATAATCGAGTAGCTATTTCACTCTTCAGTACAGCCCTGTAGTGAATGACTGGCCCGAAAGTAATAAGTGGCTGTTAGTAATGGCTTGCTTGGAGAACTTTCTACACAAATAATGCTTCGTACAAAAACTATAGCTATCATACTGTATCACAGATGTAATTTACCTACTAAATTACCTATTGAGAGCCACTTATTATTAATTTTTAGAATATCTTTTTATACAAAAGACAAGAGTACCGGGGGACTAGTAATGCCAGTACCTCTCCTAGCTGACCTTCTTTATCCTACTTTAGATACATCTACTCCATTAACCACTACGACAGTAAACAGTTATTCACAATAGAAGCACATAAAATGTTCCAGGTCGACTCAATGAAGTATATAAAAATGCTTTCAGACTAGAAGTTACGCATGAAAATGAGCACAAATGCAGTTACTTGGATCCAACAATTGCACAAAGAAAGCCAACAATTGTTATTAAAAAATGTAAAAACAGATACTTCTGGTTTTTCTGTTAAGCGTTCCCCAATCGCAGAACAAGTGCTTCTCATCGCTTTAAAATCAAGACAGAAGCTCTAAGAATAGCTACAGATTCTACGGTACAAGACTTTGTTGACAGACTGGAGTACTCCACTAAAAAGTTAGCAGAATCAGATTACAGCACAAGTACCTTTATAATTTGCCTTGTCAACGTCTAACTAACAACCTATCTGAGACTTTTAATAAAAAATTTGGTTTGTAAAGAATTTCTCATAAAATTCAGTTGAGGAGGAAGAACTTTTGTCTTTATGTTATTCCAAAGGGCGGTGGTGAGAAATGAACAAGTCAATTCCGAATATAAAAATGAACTAGCAACCATTCTTAGTTGATAAGCCCTGGAACACTCAAACTGACTATTCACAATTTACGTGACTTATGGAAGAAAGGATGGTGAATTTCCAAAATTAGCTTTGGGGATTAAAACTTATTAATGTGATTCCTCCTTTCCCTTACCGATGACCAATTTATTATATTTGACTTGATAATTTATACACGCTTTTGTACGTGTATATGTACACGCCCACACGTACACCTCTTATCCATTAGATGGAGTAGGCGTGGCATTTGAACATGGCACAGAATGGGTCACTTGGGATGTGTCAGTCTTGAGACAACTGTCATCTTGTTCTGTGCTGGACAGAGGCACGACTACAATTTTGTCGAGGTGGAAATATCTCCCCAAAAGCACAACTGCCGCCACGGAAAGTTGAAGTACGCAGCCACGCCTACCACATCTCAGGGATTTTGAATGTATGTCTGTACTGTTATTGT